CTGTGTGTGAGGGTACCCCTGGAGTTCTAGGTAGCACAGCCACATGGTCCTCTGTGTAGTTAGCTTGGCCACATTGGAGTAAGTGCCAGCCTCACCCCTCGTGGGTCAGAAGGGTGTGACTGGCCTAGGAGAGGGCTGTGTGGGCTCCAAGAATGAACCAGGCACCCTGAGTCCTTCCTGTGGACTCTGACCTAGCTTATCAGCAGTCTTCACAGAGGCTTTGCCACAGAAGTGGGGACAGGAAGCCCTCTCTGTTGTTAGATAAACTTCTGTGGCCTGGAGCATAGCCCTCTACCCTAACACACACGCACACACCTGGCCAGAGCTCTGTGGTTTGGATGAGTTCTGTTGCTTTAAGTCTGAGTTCCACTTAGGCTCTGGGCTCATGAACAAGAGCCTCTGGGAATGCTGCTGTCCACTACAGCATGTGCCTCTGCCTGCCACCCGTGACCTGGCCTCATCAAGGAAGGAGCTCAAAGGCACAAGAGGAAGGAGAGCCACAATGTGGCCCCTGCAAGAGACTCAAGTTCAGCTTGCACTGGGCCCCTCTGTCCTGACAGTGGGGAGACTGGGTAGCATAAGCTTGCTAACTAGGCCATGATCCGGGTTTCCCTAGGGCTTTCTATCAAATGGAAGCCCCTCTAAGATGAAGCCACTACACATAGGCAGAGAAAACAGTACAGGGTCAGTGTATCCAGCAGTGTCCATTCCAAGGCAGGCAGGCCAAAAGAAAGGTTCTATCTTCCCTCTGATAACATGGCCTAAACTGGTCTCAGGTCCCCTCCTGTAGGACTGGCCACACACTCATTCTGTGACTGCATTTTCCAGTGTCCCTGTGAGGATTCCCCAGCTCCTGAAAATGAGAAGTTGTCAGAGTCACTGTGCTGACCATAAATGGCCACGTTTATCCCTATCCCTCTACCCAGAGGCTGAAGCTAGACCAACTGAGTCAACAGTGATGGAAGGGACCCTAGTTACAACTGCCTTAGCAGGGATCAAACCACAGGGCCCAGGATCAAGGGGTCAGATGACCTGGGGACCCTGTCCCTCTCAGGAGACCCCTAAAGTTGGAGAGCAAAGATCACAGGTGCAGAATGACAACCAAGCCACTATCTGTGTTCCTGCACTGGTAGGGACACCTCCATCTGCACAGGAAGTGTGAGGACGATTAATCGACTCACTGACCCAGGAAACCACCAAGTCCTGATAAGCAGCATTTTGTGTCCTGGTGACAGCCCCTAAGATAAGAGGATACCACGACACTTGCCCATGCCAGCATCATGCCAGGGTCAGACATGGTTTGGGGTCTGAAACAGTCCAATGACACCCCAGAATCATGAGATGGGCATGGTTCTGACCACAACCCCATTTGAAAGATGAAGCTACAGCATCCTGAGCCAGCTGGACCAATCTGAAGCTATGAATAGTGGAAAAACACCACAGGCTTCCACAGCTCATCCAAGGTTTCAAGGACCATTGGGCCTCTGGGGTAACAATAGGGGCCCCTGAGACAGCATGGCCAGACAGTCCTTGTCATCTTCTAGCCCAATGCCAACATCTCATGGGATTGCTGGTCCATCCATCCAGTCTTGCATCTGTGACAACCCCCCTGGACACTGCTGAGAGGGTCGTGAAGGTATTGTACCCTCAGCATAAGATCTGGATCCAATCTCCCTGCCAAAGACCATTCCTGTCATCTCTTCCAGCTCCTTCTAGGATGCAGCTTCCCTGTAGGAACGCCTGTGTCCTGAACTTCTCTTAATCCATAGTCAGTTAGATTAGACCCTGCATAATAACTTTATCGTGATCTATCTCTTTAAAGGCCATGTCTTCACAAGATGGGTAGATGGTTCCGTGGTTAAGAGCACTTGTTCTTGCAGAGGATCAGGGGTTCCCATCACACGCCTATGGAGTGTGCAGAGGATCAGGGGTTCTGTTCCCATCCCACACACATGGTGGCTCGCAGCCATCTGTAACTGCAGTTCCAGGCCACCCCAACGTCCTCTTCTGACTTCGGAGGGCACCAGGAATGCAAAAAGTGCACATACATACATGCAGGCAAAACACTCAAATACATAAAATAAAAAATATGATAAAAATCTCCGTTTAAAAATCTCTTTCTAAACAGTCACTCGGGGGTGTTAGAAGTTAAGGGTTCAATGCATTTCCACAGCACGTGCAGTTCAGCCTAAAGCAGACAAGAGCCAGAGCTAGAAAGAAAGGGTCTGAAGTCACAGAGAAACCCTGGGCCTCTCGGACTCAGAAAGAACGTGGGCTGCTGGGGTGGCTGGCAGAATCCTGCACAGAGTAGGTCTGACAGGACATCATTCCTTCTGCCAATTCTGGGGTCCTCTCCATGGTCTGCCAGCACTGTGAAGTTCTCAGAGCCCATTCCCTTCACACAGGTCCTACTCAGCTCTGATTTCTGGCCATTGATGTTAGACTCAGTCTGCGTGGCTCAGGCCATGGAAGAGCTATCCACAGGGGCAGAAAGACCAGAGTGGCAAGAGTTTGTCAAGCAGAGAAGAACAGCAAGGGACTCAAGACCATGTGGCCTCAGTATTCCCTGCTCGTGGTCCAGTACACGCTCACAGGCTCCCCAGCTGGCTTTTATGGTTTGGTTTGGTTTGGTTTGGTTTGGTTTGGTTTGGTTTGGTTTGGTTTGGTTTGGTTTGGTTTGGTGGTTTGGCTTTTCAAGACAAGGTTTCACTGTGTAGCCTTGGCTGTCTTTGCATTGTAGACCAGGCTGGCCTCAAACTCAGAGATGTGCGTGCCGCTACCCGCGTGCTGAGGTTAAAGGTGTGCCCCACCTCTGCCAGGTTCCCCAACTGTTTTTAAGATGAGTGACTTTAAACCTCACACCCCTCAGATTAGCATGTTGCCAGCTTTGCTTTCAAATGTTCTTCCAGTAGGGAATAAGACATCACAGTCAGCATTGCCCCTGTCAGTCCCGCCACAGAGACAGCCACCATCCTGGATCTAGTGCTTCTCAAGGTGTTTTGTTTGTTTGTCTTTTCTCTAGTCAGGGTTTCTCTGTGTAGCCTCGGCTGTTCTGGACTCACTTTGTAGACCAGGCTGTCCTCGAACTCACAGCAATCCTCCTACCTCTGTCTGAGAACTGGGATTATAGGCACCACCGCATTCAGCTGCTTCTCGGTTATATGTCCGCTTGTTTGTTTATGCGTGTATGGGGGTGCATTGTGCCACAACACGTGTTGAGGTCACAGGACAACTCCTTCAACTATGCGGCCCCAGAGATTGAAAAGAGGTAGCCAGGCTTGCTGGCGGTTATCTTTACCCACTGAACCCTCTTCCTGGAGCTCAAAAGGTTTTGTGCTTGTTGCATTTGCGAATACTCAAGTAATACGGTACTCTTCTACATTTGTAGAAACTAATAGATGCCACCAACATTGGAGAGATGGCCCAGTCAGTAAAGTATTTGTAGATGAAGCATGAGGGCCTATATTTGATCCCCAGAAGACGTGTGCAAAAATTTGGGGAGATAGTGACAGGAGACCCCTGGAACTCACACAGATACACACAGCACAAACACAGACACATGCATACAACCACCTTTAATTCCAGAAGATTCAATACTCTCTTCTGGTACACACATACACACACACACACACACACACACACACACACACACACACACACACACAC